GCTGCACTACAATGTCTGGGATGATGATGATCCTCAAAGAAGATGAAGACACTGAGGCTATTCTCCCACCCTGGAAACCCCAAAGTGAATGTGGGCACTAGGGGAGGGGTGGTTTGGGGCACCCGGGATGTGGAGCTAATGATTAAGAATAGACTGCCCCGAGTCCTCCGGTCTCCAGTGTGGACTCCCCCACCCTTCTGCTCCGTGGCCTCCAACTTGGGGTGAGAGCACAGGGATACCCCCAAAGCCCCGGCCCACCCATCTGTTCCTGTCTCTACTTGCTCTGCCCATTTCAACATTACTGAACACCCGCAATGGGCCAGGCCCCTAACTTGGTGTGAGGATCCAGAGACGGGTAAGATATCCCCCAGAGCTTCAAGATACCCACGGGGATGTACAGATATGTCCAGGACACGGTGCTGTTAGAGGGGCAGAGGGGCTTCCTAAGCTGTTATCAGGGGTTACCTCTGAGGGAGCTAGATTAAGTGGAGGCTACTTATTTTACTTATACAGTGTTTGGAAAGGTTGTACAACAAGCGTCCCTCCAAAACCTGAGCCCCCATCCCCCCCAGTTTTCCTGAAGCTGTCTTTTTGGGGATAGGGTAGGGAGTAGAACCCAGGCAGCTGGGGGTTTTCTCCTCATGTCCAAGGTCTTGGGGAATATTGGAGCTGGAGGAACGAAATATACTCTCATCTCTGTTTCAACAGCTAAGTTATAACAGTAGTTCACGTACCATGCACTTTTGTAAGAACTTTGCACAGATTCATTCATTAAACCTCACAATGGTCCCACAAGGTAGTTACTATTATCACACCCATTTTTTGGATGAGAAACTGAGGCACAAAGACGTGAATTAACTTGCCCAAGATCACATGGCTTTCTCTTTCCATGAACAGCCCTCTTCACTGGCCATTCCCTGCAGGAGGGGAAAGGTTGACTCTTGCTCACTCCCAGTCAAGCAGTCTTTCCTCCCCTCAGCCACCAGGCACCCCTTCCTACAAAACCTGCTACCTGAGCAGCCTGTGCAGGGGTTGGGGGTCCTGCCTTTTCCCAGATGGTGAAGGGCAAATTCGAGGGTTTCTTCCCAGGCCCCCAGGGCACAGGCCCTTTTGTTCCCTGAGTGAGGAGCCCCAGCCAGGACCAGGACAGCTGCCTAGGCCAGTAGAGTTACAGACCTCTCCCTGCCTGCCAGAGCCAGGGATGGGTCTGCTAAGCCCTGGGCTACTTCAGCCGCCTGCAGAACACCTGCTCATTATTCAAAGCCAAGGCCCATTGCCTGCTCTTCCACGAAGCCTTCTTGGACTTCCCCAGCAGACATCCGCTTGTCTTGAGGCCATACTGAGAGCATCTTCCAAGTAGGACAATAGCTCACTCGGTACCTAACACTGTGCCTGCCACATAATAACTATTCTACCATCATAGCAGCTATTTCAAACATCTCTCACTCTCCTTGAACTTCTACCTCCTGGGATGGATGCTGTGATGCACTGCCTGGGTCTCCTTCAAAAACCGAAGGATCTCTTCACCAGCTGCTGGGAGTGCTGCCAGCAGATGGCTCTCGGCTACCAACCCCCTCCAGGGGTTGCCTCTGCCGATGTGAGCTGCCATGACCAACGTCCTGCCCCCTTCTCAGGGCAGCCTGCTTTCAATGACTGATCCACAGGGGAGGTTAAAGGCCAGCCCCCTCACAAAGCCTTCAAACTTAGGACAAGTCTGAAGAATCCTCCCAGCTTCAGAGCTCCCAGCTCAAATTCTCCCCGTGCCCAATCCTGCTTCCCTACCTTCTCTTGCACAGGTGTTAACTCTAACAGCACTCCCCAGTAAACTTCCTGCATGCTGATCTCTGTCTCAGAGTCTGCTCCATGGTGTACCCAATCTGTGACACCCACCCCCATCTCATTCATTTACTAATTCCTTCAGCCAGTTTTATCGAGTACCTATTATGTGTCAGGCCCGGCAGCAAAGGCAGGAGGTGGACCGTGAAGGTAACTATCCAAAGGGTGATCACATCTCCTACCTCTCAGAGAAGTTAGAAGTCACAGGAGGGAGACTCTATCACCTTCCACCATAAAATCCACAAACTTCCCTGCATCTGCGCCCCTCCTCTCCTCCTTCTTTTTGCCTTCTAGGGCCCAGCTTACCACTGTGCTCTGTATGCTGTGCCCTCCCACCAGGGTGCCCAATCTGTCCTTTTTTGCCCCAGACTGTCCAGGTTTTAAAACTGAAAGCCCCACGTTCTGTTAAACCCCTCAGTCCCAGCTGGGTAATCTGAGAGGATTGCTCACTGTACCTCCCACCTTCTTGGGGACTTCATTTAAGTGATAATCACACATCTCTATCAATCTTCAGCTACTCACTCTGAATCAGCTTCTTCTTATCATCATTTAAAGCTTTCTTATCCTTAAAAATCCTCCCTTAAGGGGGCCGACCCCGTGGCCGAGTGGTTAAGTTCGTGCTCTGCTTTAGCAGCCCAGGGTTTTGCCAGTTCAGATCCCGGAGGCACGGCACCGCTCATCAGGCCATGCTGAGGGGGCATCCCACATGCCACAACTAGAAGGACCCACAACTAAAATATACAACTATATGCTGGGGGGGGATTTGGGGAGAAAAAGTAGAAAAGAAAAGAAAAAAACACAATCCTCCCTTGACCCAAGCTCCCCTCTCCAGCCTCTACCTCCTTTGTCTGCTCCTCTTGACAGCCAGATACCTTAAAAGAGTTGTTACTATTTTCTCACCTTCCACTCTGATCTGGCTGCTGTCACTCCCCTGAAACTGCTCCTGCCAAGGCCACCTATGACCTCCTTGTTGATAAACCAAGTAGACAGCTTTCTGTCTTCGCTTTGCTTGGCTTCTGTGCTAGGCCAGACCTGGAAGTCCAGCAAGAGGATGGCAAGAATGATGTCTTGAACTTGGTCCAAGGACTTTTTAAAATTGGCCTATATCTGAAGCAACGAATGCCACACCTAGGTGCAAAGGATGTGCAGTGATAAGGGTGCAGGTGAGAGCATGTGGCTCCCCCTCCTCCTCCTGTGAGCACCCCGGGTTGGTGGTCTTGCTAGTTGCAGATAGTAAGATGTCCACAGACCTCACAAGAGCACAGGGCCTTTCACACTCCCAGCCATTATCAGCCCGGAAACATCTTCTGCCACATAAAAGGCAAAAATTCCACACCCACACCTCACGTGGAGTTCAAGGCCTTGAAATTCTTGTGAGGCCAGCGCCAGGCTGATCTCACCTTACCAGTATCTGTGGTGTAGCGTCCAAGGGTTTTTGATTTGTGTCCACTGAGGTGAGCCTGGCCAGGCCCTACCAAGGTCTCTCAGCATCATGGGCTCAGTTGACTCTCTCACCTGCAAAATTCTTTTCCCTTGGCTTCTGAGATCCAAGGAACAGCTCCTTTTGCCAAACCAGCTCCACTCCTCCTTCAGATCTTGGCTTGCATGCCACCTCCCCCTGCTGCCCCGACATGTTCTCATTATAGCCTGTATCTCATGTCATTGTTAGTACTTGTTTAACTGTCTAATTTGTCCCATAGACTGCAAGCTCCATGAGGGTAGGAGGCGGGTGTTTATCACTCACCACCCTGTCTTCTGAGACCACTTGTCTCATATTAGTAAATATTTGTTGAATGAATGGAGAACACTCATTACTATTTCATTGAATGTCTGCAAGGAGCTTTACCTACATTATTTCTAATCTTTGTAACAAGCTAAGTATTATTATTATTATTATTTTTTTTTTTTGGAGGAAGATTAGCCCTGAGCTAACATCTGCCACCAATCCTCCTCTTTTTGCTGAGGAAGACTGGCCCTGAGCTAACATCCGTGCCCATCTTCCTCTACTTTATATGTGGGACGCCTACCACAGCATGGCTTGCCAAGCAGTACCATGTCTGAACCCGGGATCACAACTGGGCTGCCGAAGTGGAATGTGCACACTTAACCGCTGTGCCACTGGGCTGGCCCCAAGCTGAGTATTATTTTATCCTCTGTTTTATAACTTGCAGACACTGAGGCCCTGAAAGGCTAAATGACTTGCCCCAAAATTATCAAGCAAGTAAGTATCCCCTTTCCACTGCCCACAGCAGGGCCGGCCTCTGCCCCTTGGCTCACCCTGGCTCCCCTCACCTTCTCCAGCTAATTCTCTGAGCCAGAATAAGACCGGGGAAAGACCTGGCTTACAGGACACAAGAAGAACATGTTCCCCTGGTAGCTCCTGGGGACCCTAAGCCCTCAGTCGTACCCTAAACCTCTGTAAAAATGCACATCCCTGTGAGAGGGGAGGGGACCCCAAGCTGGAAGCCTTTTTCAACAGTTTTATTCCTCTTGGGTAGTGCAGATGGCAAGAACACCTGGTTTTCTTCTACCTTTACAATGACAGCACCTTTGCATAGTTTTCTCATTTTATTCTCACCAAACCAGCAGTGCTGTCCCATCGTATGAAGGACATTTGAGGTCCAGGTAGGTGAATGAAGAGTTTGGGCCATGATTTGGTGTTAAAACAGTATATTAAATACCCAGGTATTAATTAAATACTGACCATACTATTTAATGCTAATTACTATCTACTATCTTGATGGCAGGTCCACCGAGGGAATTTTGCCTCCTGCTTTCTTACACGTCTCAGATCTATTCACAGTCCCATGTGGGGACAGATCAAGTTAATGAAAGTTGTGAGCAACTGGCTTCTGGCAGCCGTCACCTGTTTCATCCTAATCAGATCCATAGAAGGCTATCCCCTCCCATATGCTGGGGTTTGGAAGGTTTTCACATCCATGCTCTCCTAGGTGAGTAGGAAGGGCAGGATATTGCGGAGACATTACCTCAAAAGCTCGAGCCAGCAGGAAGGGGAAGTGCGCAAGCGCACTGTCTGCAGCTCCCGCCACCAGCGAGCTGTACTTTGTTACTTAGGAAACAGCCAATCAGAGATCCGGACGGTGGCCAATGGGAAGCGCGGAGGAGCCGACCCGGCTAATTTGAACGCGCGACGCAGGGCGGAGGTTGGCGCGGGTGGGGGAGGGTGTGGGGCGTGCTCTCGCGTGCTGGGGGGGCTCCAGTCTGCGGCGCAGGGACCCGGCAGCGAGCCGGCGACACCAGCGGCGGGGAACCGACGAAGGGTAAGCGCTGACCCACGGCGGAGCCGGCCCCGGGGGCTCCTGCGCGCAGATCCCTGACGCGCGGACTCGGCAGCTCAGGGCGGAAGCCCGAGCCTGGCCTCTTTCATGCCGGACACGTAGGGGCAGCGTGGAGACCCAGCAGGTTCTGTGTGGTCCCCTCTGAACAGGATGAGGGCCGGGGCAGGTGGCAGGGTGCTTCCTTCCACATCTGCGCGGGAGATCGGGACCCGCTCTGCTCATTTGTACAGCACCTAGACTGGGTCCGCGCTTCTGCACCGGGGCCCGGCCCTCTGTACATCCGCTCTGTGAAAGGTCCTCTTGCTCGTGTGTAAGGAACAATTGGGTCCTCCTGTACAGTAGAACTGGACACTGGGACCTCTTGCACATCTGTGTGGAGTAGCTAAGACCCTCTCCGCCCATCTATAAAGAACTGATTGCCCAGCTGTGCCAGCGGCCCTAACTTAGTTACTAGGGCACTTAGTAAGTACTTGATTGAATAAAGGAAGGAATGAAAGAACATCTGTATGACAGAAAACCAGGCCTTCTGCTCCTAGGATGCCTCTCCTCTTAGTTTTGACCCTTTAAGGTACTGTGCCATGAAAAACGGGATTTTACTGCAGACATTGGTTCTTCTGGCATCACGGAGAAATGCTGCATGTCCTATCAATTCAAATAATAATGGCAAACATTTATTGAGCACTTACCAGATTTGAATTAACTCATTTATTCTCATAACAACCCTGTGAAGTAGATACTAATATTGTTTACATTTCATAGTTTGGGGAACAGAGAAGTTAAGCCTAACTCAGAGGAAAACATCTACAAAATTTTTCTGAATGCGCTTCTCAGTGTTGTACTGCTTTCTCCAATCTCTGTTCTGTTTCCTCTCCCATCACCGCTTCCCATGCTTCAACAATGCCAACTATCCAATCCTTCTCTGCTTATTTCATGATTGAATTCCCCCACCCTCAGAGAGATATTTTAATGTGTCTCAATTTGATGGTCTTTGTATCATCCAATCCAGCTCCATTTATACCTTTTTAAAAAAAGTGTACAAATACCATATTTTTAGAGGCATAAAAATTGTCTCTATCTGACCACAAAACAAATCTAAAGAGTGCAAACCATATTCTCTTTCCATAAGCAATTAGGTTAAAAATGCAGAAGAAAAAGAAATTAAATCAACATTTGGATATTAAAAAAAAAAAGCCACTTAACTCAGTCAAACAGGATATCATAATTGTAATTAAAAGATAATTAGCATGGGACAGTGATAATACTACTAATAAAATTTGTAGGATGCATTTAAAGCAACACTTGGAGGGTAATTTTTAGTCTTAAATACTTACATTTGAGCTTTTTTTTTTCAGCTGAAAGTTAGTGGGGCAAACTTCCAACTTTAGTAAGATAGAACAGAACAGCAGAATCAATGTGTAGATAATAAAAGAAGGCGTTAAGAGCAGAAATTAATGAAATAGATTTTATTATATAAGAGAGAGGATTAACTTAGCCAAAAGCTGACCTTTGAAAAGACTAATAAAAAAGCCAAACCTCTGGCAATATTGATTAAGAAATAAAGAAAAGAAACATAGAAAAAATGATCTTAGGAATGAAAATAGGGACATAACTTCAGTTACTGAGAGATTAGAAGGCAGAGACTTCAATGGAACACCCTTTTTGACAATGCTTTTGGACAATTTTCTAGGAAAAAACAACTTACCAAAATTGACTCAAGAAGTTATGGAAATTTCGAACAGACCTAGGACCATTGAGGAAATTGAATTCATTTACAATGTATCTTCACACACATCCAAGAAAACCCACCTTGCTGTCTGTGGCATAGTGGTTAAATTCACGTGCTCCCCGCTTCCACCCAGGGTTCACAGGTTTGGATCTGAGCACGGTCTTGCACACTGCTCGTTAAGCCATGCTGTGGCGGAGTCCCACATACAAAAAATTGAGGAAGACTGGCAGAAATATTAGCTCAGGGCCAATCTTCCTCACCAAAAACAAACAAAAAAAAGTCACCAAACTCCACCAGAAATTTACAGGCAATTGGAAGAAATTATTCTAATCTTATACAAACTCTCCCTAAAAAAGAGAAAACATTTCCAGTCTGTTTTGTGACACCAAAAATGAGACAAAGAATATTACAAGCCAATCTCTTTTATAAATGTAGCTATAAAAATCTTGGATAAAATATTAACAATCAGAAACCAGCAATGTATAAAAAAAATACAGTATGATGAACTTGGTTTTATCCCAGGAATATGAGAATAGTTTAACATTATAAAATCTATTAATACAATCTACATATTTCTAGATTAAAGGAGAAAACGTATCCTATTAGGCACAGAAATAGAATTCAATAAAATTCAATACCATTCATGATTTTTTAAAAACTTGGTAAACTGGAAATAGAGGTAAATTTCCTTAAACCAACAAACAGAGAAATAAGAGGAGTATCCCCTATAAAATCGGGAAAGAGACAAGATTGCTCACTATTGCTGCTTCTATTCAATATTGTATTGGAGGTCCTAGCCTGAACTGTAAGACAAGAAAAATAAAAATGATAAGGTTAGAAAAGAATAAACAAAACTATCATGAGTTATAGCCTTATGATTGTCTATTTAAAAAAAAAAAAAACGCAGCTCCTTCCTCCGCACATGACCTGTAGAAAGAACCAGTGGTCTCTGGCTGTTGTTTGCTGGGTGCTAAGGTGAGGGAGGCGGGAGCTGCAAACCCAGCTGCAGGCCGGAAGAGCCTGGGGTGAAGAGCTGTGCCTCTGTGACGATCAGAGTGAGGTGCAGTTTGGGCTTGCTACTTACCATCCATGTGACAAGTTCCTGAGCCTCAGTTTCCTTTGTAGAGTAGGGATGGAACAATCGTATCAATAACCACATAATGAGATTGTGAAGGTTAAACTGACACCGTTTGTAAAGCACGCAGCGCGTAGTACCTGATACATAGGAAGCCCTCAATAAATGGCAGCTGTAACAGTAATCATTTTTAGACTTTTGGATTCAGACTCTGCTCTTGTCTGGCCTTTATTCATTCATGGACAAATATTATTCAGCATCTGCTGCACGCTGGGTGTGGTGCCCAGGCATGTGGACTGCACAGACTATATCAGAAGAGGGTCCTGCTCTCTTGCAGCTTAAGGACGAGAAACTCGAGTATGTGAGAGTTATGAAGGAGCAATCAAGGGGACGATAGCAACTCCTGTACAAATACAACATCCAAGGGCTAGGCCCCTTCCCTGCCTTCCTGGCTCCTAATGTCTGCAGGCAGATCCCCTCAAGTCCTCAGAAATTCTTCTCCAGGGGCTTCTAAGCTTGGGCTTGTTTGACCTGTCCCTGTGAGGGTAGGCAGAGGAGGCCATCCTGAAAACAACTGAATCTTGGCTTCCCAGCCCCAGCTCCGCAGTGAACTAGCCTTTGGGATTTAATGAGCTGCCCTGGGTTAGAAACAGGACGTGACTGTAGCTGGCTCAGAACCCTGAAGATCTTATTAAAGAATCATCTCCCTTGTACTTTGGGCTGAAATGCTCTTTCCAACCGAGGATCAAAGCAAACTTGACAAACGTTCTCTCATTAATCTCCCTATCCCCCTGGGGCGGGAGCAGATCGGTAGCTGTTCTCTCTGGCTCTCAGAGGGGGAAGCTGATGCGACATCGACATGGTGTGGCTGGTGGAAAGACCTCTCCACCAGTCAGATGCAGAGCAGGGACCAGGACCCTGGCATCCTAGCTGCCTCTATGCCAAGTGTCACCCGCCCCCCACCCCGAGCCCCCAGCACTGTCTCAGGAAGAAGGAAAACATCTCATTAGGCAAACAGTCTGCCTCGCTGGCCCTCAGGAGGCGGAGAGGAGAGAACTGTAAAGGTTATGCGCACTCCGCTGCCAGTGCCCTTTTTAATTTCCTGCTTAGAATGTTAGGCTGCTCCGTGGCTCCTCCTCAGCTACAAGCCTCCCTGTGGGGAGCTGGCACTGCTGTTAAGGCAGCCGATGTAGACCCAGACTGTGGGGCCAGGCACCCTCTGCCTTCAGTTCCCTGGGTACAGAAGTGGGGTTCCCTGGGTTGGGAATGTGAGGATGAGAGGAACTCTAACTCTCTGTGAGTGTTGAAAATTAGGTACAGTCCATAAATCTGAAAGTGTTTGCAGTGTACATAATGCTGGTTACATAAAAGGGATTATGATTATTATACAAACATAAGGGACCGTTACAACAATGCGATCATGAGAGCGTAATCTATAATCTCATTATAAGGCAGTATACAGGCTCTGCAGTCAGACAGCCTGGGTTGGAACCAGGCTCTGTCATTTACGAGCATTGGAATCTTGGGCAAATTGCTTAACCCTCTCTGTCTCAGTTTTCTCATTGAAAATGAGTATAATAATAGTATCTGTCTTGCGGGATTGCAATGGAGATGAAAAGAGATGATACATGTAAGGTGCTTAAAACAGTCGCTGACATAGTGAGCACTTAGCTGTTATGTTTATTCTTATGGCAGTCTGATTGCTGGACAGGAACGGAATTATACACAGCTGAAAGGATTATTATTGGTTGATCTCTTTCCTTTGTTTTGTGTGCAGAAGTAATGAAGAACTTTGGGAGTGAGGGGGCAGGAGTTTCAAATCAGCTCGATTCTGCCACATTCCCAAAGGAAAACATGAGTTGTTTGCTGGAGCATTATGTAGAAATCCCACTTTTCTTTGCTGAACGACCTTGGTAATTTGACTGGTCAGCAGGACCTTATCTTTCCTGGGGAAGCGATCGCCTATTCACACCCCGCCCCCCGCCGCCAGGAACAGCCCCTGTTCCTTACCCCTGTTAATATATCCCCAGAGTTGAACTTTTCCAGGACATCTATGACTCCTGCCTTCCAAAAATTCCATCTTTACCCTTGGTAGGCTGGCTTGAAGGAGAAATGAAAAACCAGGGAGAGAGGCCTGAGGGTAACATAAGAGAGAACAGGCAAATAAATGTTTGGAACTGTGACCAGGTCAACATTCGGAAATGTGTCTATGTCACCCTCTACATTAACAGATTAAAGGAGAAACATTGTGATCATCTCAGCCAGTGCCAAAAAAAGCATGTGATAAAACTTAACACCCATTCCTAATGGGCAGTGAAGGGTGGGGAATTAAATATAGAAGAGCTAAAAATAGAAAGTAACTGTCATTATTTGCAAACTATATCATCATTTAATTGAAAAACCTAAGAGAATCAATGACAATCTATTAGAACTAATAAGGAAGCTTAGCAGTGTGGCCAGATACAAGATCTGCATACAGAAATCAGTAGCTTTCCCATGTTCTGGCAAAAATGAATTAGAAAATGTAATTTTAAAAAGAGCCTATTCACAATATAACAGAGGCTATACAATTAGTAATAAACCTATCAAGAAATCTACAAAACCCATGTGAGAAAAACTATAAAATTTTACTGAAGATTATAAAGTTGTGAGTAATGAAAAGAGATGCTATATTCCTAGAGGGGGAGACTTGATACTGTAAAGATGCCAATTCTCCTCATATTAATCTATAAATTCAAAATAATCCCAATTAAAATCTTAGCAGGATTTTTCATAGAACTCCATAAGCTGATTCTAAAGCCATACGCAAGACAGGATGCCCAAGAATAGCCAAGAAAAAGAACAATGAGGTTATATATTATAGAACCACAGTAATTACAACAGTGAGTTACTGGAAAAGGAACAGACTATCAGTAGAACAGAACGGAGAGTCCAGGAACAAATTCATCTTTCTATGAGAACTGAGTTATGTTAAATGTGGCATTTCAAATTGGTGGAGAAAGAATGCACAATTTAATAAATGATCTTAAGATAATTGTTTACCATTTGGAAAGAAAAGTTATTTAGAAATCTCCTCACACCATTCACACACAGAAATAAATTTCCTCTGGACAAAGACCTAAATATAAGAAAAAGTATTACACAGAAATGTAAGAAAAGTGTTTATTACCTTGGGGAAGGAATGTCTTCTTAAATATGACATAAAAACCATAAAAGTTGACACATTTGACCTTTTAAAAATTGAAAACTTCACTATGGCCAGGGTGGGATTTTTTTCCAAGAATGCATGGTTGGTTTGATACCCAAGAATAATATCAAATGATTTACCACATCAACGAAATAAAGGAGTAAAAAACATATAAGCATATCAAGAGATGCTGAAAGAGCATTAGATAAAATTCTAGACGTTCCTAATAACAACTCTAAGTAAAATAAAAATAGAAGAAATTACTAATATGATAATGACTATTTGTCCAAAACGAATTTCTAAATCGTGATGTACTAAACCCGTTTCCTTTAAAATCAAGACAGGGATGCCCATTATCATCATTATTATCCAACTTTGTTTTGGAAGTTCTAGGGATTGCAATAGACGAGAAATAAAATATTTAGTATAAATACAGAGAAAAAAGGTAAAAAAGTTCTTTTCTTTTCTGATATATAATTGTATAGTCAGAAAACCCAATAAGCCCTAATAAAAAATGATTGGAATTAATAAGAGAGTTTGAGGGTGGTGATTACAAGGCAAATATAAAAATCAATCATGTTTCTCCATACCAGCAATTACCACCTGGAAATAGAGATGGGGAAAGGTGTTCCATTCATAAAAGCAATTAAGTCCATAAAGTACTTGGGAATTACATCAAAAGGACAATTACAGAACCCATCTGAAGAGATAGAAAACTACAAAATCTTATTGAGGGGTATAAAAATATCTGAACAAATAGAAAGGCAATAGCCATATTCTTGCATGAAAAGGTTTACTATAAAATAAATATGTAAATTTAATACAATTCCAATTGTAATACCAATAAGGTGTGTGTGTGTGTGTGTGTGTGTGTGTGTTGGAGGCTGTTCTGGGTTGGGAATGGAATTGATAAAATTTTCTTAAAGTCAAATAGAACAATAAATGCCTGAAAATAGCCAAGAAAATCATGAAAAAGGCTAATGTGGGGGGTGGTTCTTGCTTTACTGAATAAAAAGCATATTGTAAAAGGAAGGAATGGAAAAAGTGTCAGTGTAGTGTCGGCACAAGGGTAAACAGATTAGTGGAACATGATAGAGAACCCAGTAATAGGCCTCTGAAAAAATATAGTCATTTGCATATGACAAAGTGGTATTTCAAGTAAGAAAGAGATATTTATTAATAATTGGTACTAACGCCAATATTCTTATTCTCTTGAGGTATAAAATGAAGATCAGCTGTTGGAGGGTGAGAGGATACCTTGAATACTAGGCTGAGGGGGCACCTGGTCATACCTGGGGTCCAACGGGTCCTATCTCCATCATGTCTCTGCCTAGGTGTTGCCATGGTGATGGCGGTGGAGGACAGTGTGGTGCGGGTGGTGGTGCGAGTGCGGCCCCCGACCTTGCGGGAGCTGGAGAGTCAGCGGCAGCCTGTGGTTCAGGTGGTAGACGAACGGGTCCTGGTGTTTGACCCTGAGGAGCCCGATGGGAGCTTCCCTGGCCTGAAGTGGGGCAGCACCCATGACGGCCCCAAGAAGAAAGGCAAAGACCTGACGTTTGTCTTTGACCGGGTCTTCGGTGAGGCGGCCACCCAACAGGATGTGTTCCAGCACACCACCCACAGCATCCTGGACAGCTTCCTCCAAGGCTACAACTGCTCAGGTGAGAACCCCCGGTGAGGAGGACGGGCCCTGATTGGCAGCGGCCTTTCCTCCCTGCCTCCTAAGCGCTTCATGTGTCATATGATGGATGCCCACCTCCCTCCCCCTCAGCTGGGCAGGCACTTGCTGAGGAGGACTCTGGCCCTTGCGTTCTCTGTGGGTCCCCCATTCGTTCTTCTCCTGTGTGTAAGGCATTCTACTGGGCCCTGGGATATAGTAGCAGACCAGCCAGACATGGTTCCTATCCTTTTGATGCTTACATTCTAGAGAGGGGAGAAGTCACTAATCACGAAGTCACACCCGCAAGTGTGTGGCTGTGAACTAAGGTAGGTGACATAAGGGGAAGAGGGCCTTCAACAGAAGAAGCCACCTAGACTGGAGAAGGCTTCCCTGAGGAGGGGATCAGTCCCCACTGCAGTGGAGACCCCTTTACCCTTGAATCCACAGGCCTATAGGAGAGCCAGGACATACACACAGAGAACATGGGGGCTGCGAGTGGGTAGGAGCAGGGGAACTGTGCACATCAAGGCAAAACAAAGGAGCTGGGGGAGGAGGGCAGGGCCAAGCCGGTGGACATGAACTGGGGGAGCCCCTAGAGAAGGCAGATCTGGCCCTGCCACCACCCTACTCCCTACTCTGTCCTCTGTAGTGTTTGCCTATGGGGCCACCGGGGCTGGGAAGACACACACCATGCTGGGAAGAGAGGGAGACCCTGGCATCATGTACCTGACCACCATGGAGCTGTACAGGCGACTGGAGGCCCGCCAGGAGGAGAAGCAATTCGAGGTGCTCATCAGCTACCAGGAGGTATGGCGTTCCCCCCTCAGGACTGGCGGTTCCATCCCTCGTTCATCCCTCTCACCTGAAGGGGGAGTGGAGTGGAGTGGAGTGAGCAGGTCGGGGAGAGGGTGGTAGGAAGCGGGCGATGGGGGCCTGGTGAGAGCTCAGAGGGCAGTTACAGCTCGGGGAGAGACTGCCTGCGAACTAAGCCGGCCCGTCCTGCTCCTGTCCTTTCATGTCATCCGGCAAAGTGCTGCTCATGGCGTGGCATCTTGTCATGCTTCCCCTGCCCAGCCACTCAGCCCTCCTCCAGCCTCCAGGGGAGCTTTCCTGACGGGTCCCCTCCCTCAGGTCTCTCCCTTCTTCCTTTTTCCTCAGGTGTACAATGAGCAGATCCACGACCTCTTGGAGCCCAAGGGGCCCCTGGCCATCCGTGAGGACCCCGACAAGGGGGTGGTGGTGCAAGGACTTTCCTTCCACCAGGTGTGGGACTGGGCTCGGGTGGCACAAGCAGCCCCATTGGTCCTCTGGGGTTCCTTCACCAGGCAGGTTGAGGATGCCCTGGATCCCATGGTGGTGGCGGTAGCAAGAGGGTGACATGGGTTCTGGCGAGCAGCCCTCCTGTTATGGGAAAAGTCCTGGTTGGGGAGACCACAGTCCCTTTCCTGGGCATCTCTTCTATAGCCAGCCTCAGCTGAGCAGCTGCTGGAGATGCTGACAAGGGGGAACCGTAACCGCAAGCAGCACCCCACTGATGCCAACGCTACGTCCTCCCGTTCCCATGCCATCTTCCAGGTGAGAGGGGTCACAGGTCAGAGCCTGCAGCCTGGCCTCCTGATGCCTGGTGCCCCCTCACCCCTGCCGTCTGCCCCCAGGTCTTTGTGAAGCAGCAGGACCGGGTTCCAGGTCTGACCCAGGCCCTTCAGGTGGCCAAGATGAGCCTGATTGACCTGGCTGGTTCAGAGCGGGCATCCAGCACCCAGGCGAAGGGGGAGCGGCTGCGGGAGGGTGCCAACATCAACCGCTCTCTGCTGGCCCTCATCAATGTCCTCAACGCCCTGGCTGACGCAAAGGTAGAGCTGCACAGACCTAGGGTCCTCCCCAGGACAGCGCCTGAGGGCCTAAAGCCACGGGTCCCTTCCTCCAGCCCTGGGCCAAAGGCTGCCGGGGCCCAGCCACCTCAGCCCACACCCTCTTGCTGTCCCCCAGGGCCGCAAGTCCCATGTGCCCTACCGGGACAGCAAACTGACCCGCCTGCTCAAGGACTCCATCGGAGGCAACTGCCGCACAGTGATGATCGCCGCCATCAGCCCCTCCAGCCTGGCCTACGAGGACACTTACAACACCCTCAAGTATGCCGACCGGGCCAAGGAGATCAAACTCTCGGTGCGTGCCAGCCAGGAATGGCCAGCCTGGTGTTGGGGAGCCCCCAGGCTGGGGGTGAGGTGGACAAGACCCACACAGCTTCCTATGGTACCTGGAGCAAGTATTCCCCCAAAGTGGAGGGAAGAAGTTCCCTAGCCTCTGTCTTCAGGGAAATTCTTTGTGGTAGAAGTGACACAGTCCCCATCCTTGGGAAGACCCCAGTTGGGAGAGAGGCAGGACAGTCTCTCTCCAAGACTTGAAAAAAGAGTAAAATGTCACAGCACTGGGATGACCAAGGCAGAATCATCTCAAGAGGGAGGCAAGGGGAGCAGGTGGCCAAGTGTCAGCCAGTGATCTTCTTCAGACTTGTTTTTAGCGGCAGGACCATGTTTTCAACCAAACAACACAAACGTCAACATATAACACAGATAAAAGTGGAGTTGCTGTGGTTTCTCCTGCCGCCTCCAGGCAGCCCTGGCGCTCCTGGAGCTGCTGCTGAGAAGCCCTGGCCTGGCGAGAGTGTATTGGTCAGGCAGTCAGTGGTCTTGGGCTCAAAAGTATCCTCCTGCCTCTTGCTGTGGCCTCAGGCAAGCCGCTGACCTTCCCGGGTCTGCTTCCCCAGTGGTGAGGGTGAGTCTCGGGAGCGTGAGTGAGGCGCCTAGCGTGGGGCCTGGCCGTTAGAAGTGGCTGCCAAAAGCTGCTGTAACGAACAAACCAATCCCTCCCCTGTGCCCCCACCTCAGCTGAAGAGCAACGTGATCAGCCTGGACTGTCACATCAGCCAGTACGCCACCATCTGCCAGCAGCTCCAGGCTGAGGTGAGGAACTTGCCTGAGGAGCTTGGCCAGGAGGCCTGGAGGGCACCCAGGCTCGGGGGCAGGAGAGCAGGAGACAAGAGCGCTGGGGTGTGGCCGGGGCCCTGTGCCCACCCCTCGCCTCCTACGCTCACCTGGGCCTCTGAGGTGCCGGGCTGCTTCGGTTCCAGGTGGCCGCCCTGAGGGAGAAGCTCCGAGTGTATGAGGCAGGAGCCCAGGCTCCACATCAGGACCTCCCACAGTCCCCCACAGCGGGCCCTCCACAATCACTGTGAGTTCTGCTGTCCATACCTGCCCCCTCCTTCAGCTCGGCAGGGAAAGCCCCCCCTTCTCCAGCTCCTGCAGGGCTAGGCCTCCTTGCTTCTCTTCTGACACCTAGGGCTAGAGGTCCCCACCTGGTGCCCAGAACACTGATTGCTCTGTGTCAAATGAGTAAATGACACCCAGCCCCTAGAAGCAGCATCTACTATTCAAAAGAAGGTGCTGTTAAGGGGAGGGTGTCATTGTTTCCTAAACCAGGAAATCCCTGACTCCTCCCACCCTCAGCTACTGCCCACTAGTTACCCAAGCCTCCATCCCTTACGGGCTCTATGCTACTTGGTGCCACAGAGATCCTGCCCCCTCCCTGCTCTCCCTACGTGCCCCTGTTCCCACCTCACAAACCCTCATTTTCCCCTTGGCGTTCCCAGTGCCCCCCCACCAACCCGCCTTCCCAGCCAGCCCTGCACCCCAGAGCTCCACCCAGGGTCTGCAGTCCTTCAGGAGGAGAGCCTGGGGAAAGAGCCCCAGCTGGAGAGGGTCGTGGAAGAGAACTCTTCAGACCAGGAGCAGCCCCTGGAGGACAAGGATGAAGGCTCAGCCCAGGAGGTAGGACTTGGAGCTGATAGAATATTGGAGGAAATGCCTCTCCCCAGCTGATAGAGTCCCTTCAGTCCCGGGTTCTCTAGCTGGATGTCATTAGGAGGCTCTCAGATCCTGTGCAGGAAGGAAAACTCAGGTCCTGTGTGTCTGGAAGTGAGGAGCATGTGTGTTACCAGAAGAGGAGCAGGGAGGGAGGAGGAGACTGGGAGAGAAAGTCTCTTAGAGGACCTGGTCAACCCAGGAGCCATCATTCCTACTCTTGGAGGAGGGAAAGATTTTAAGAACTGCTTATGGAGGGAGGCAGGCCACGCTAGACCCTCCATCTCTCTGTGACTCTCTTTCTCTTAGGTCCCAATCCAGGTGCGAGAGCAGAACCTTAGACACCCACCACCAGGGTCCCCTGGCCTGACCCTGCAGCCTAAGCCAGATGCGGGACGCCTCTCACCACAGAACCCGAGCAGGGACCATTCTAAGCAGTAGGTGTCTTCTTGCTCTTCTCTGGAGCCAAGAAGGGAGGTGATGGGTGCCAGCCCCCTGGGGTGGGAGTTGGTGTTAATTACGCCACAAAAGCTCTGCTTCTGCCCTAGCTGAGTCAAGTCTTTTTTCATCAATGTCCCTTATCTGCTTTCAACAACTTGATGTTATCAGCTACTCTGTTTACTTATCATCATCTCTATTTATTCTTCCATGTAGCTGGCAGCCCAACAGGAGGGAAGCCAGGCACCACATTCCATCCAGACAGCTGGCACGCACCGAGTTAGGGTAGGGCCGCCTGAGCTCTCGCTCTGCTTTGCAGGCTGAGGAAGGGACAGCCTTCCTGAGTCAGGTGTTTAGTGTGTCTCCTCGTCCACAGACTGACTGTGGCTATTCTTCTCAGAAGGAAATACAAAACACCACCCAAAGCCAAAGAGAGATGGGTTTTGGACCATTCTTTCTGTGCTTAATAGAGAGGTGCTGCTAGTATTTTTTTCCCTCGGCCTCCAGAACATAAATCCCCTGCCACTTAGCTTTGCTCCTGCCAGCCCCTGTCCACCCTCCGCAGCACGCTTCACACTAGGCAATGTATTTAAAGCTTCCAGACAGAAGGGCCTGTTTAATTTTATTTCTTGTTGGGGAGTGTCTGTTCCCGAGTCAGCAAAAATGCTGCAGCCTGAATAATCAGCGGCTCATTATCTGTCTCCTGCTGCCGACTCCCGGGGGCCCTGGAGTGGCAAGGATGCACTGGCAGGATGTCCCCTTGGCCCCCAGGGCTCCCACCGATGACTCAGGGTCTCTGCCTGGTGTCCCCCATTGTGAGCAGAGAGGACACCAGGGTTCTCATTTCTGCTTTGCCTCTGGTTTTGTGGTCTCTGACAAGTTGCTTCAACCTTGGCTATGATTTGGGGATCATAGTCCTTATTCTTCCTACTTCTTAGAGCTAATAATAGATACTAATGAAAATGTGACAGAAGACCCCATGTAACAGGGGCTGCAGAACATTCTAGATCATCTCCATACTTGGAAACACCCTAACAACCAGATAATCGAATATAATTTCTCTTTGGCTTTAGACTTTAGAATCTTAGACCACCAGGGCACTGAGTAGATCTTAGATTTTCCAGTTCAGTGGTTTTTCAGAATTTTTTTAGCTGCAAAGTCCTTTCTTCAAATGAAATCTCATGCTGGAGTCTAATTTGTAGAACAGACACAGCAGAGCTGCTTCATTTATAATGTCCTCTGATGGATTTCTTGAAATCTAATTTGAAAACCCCTGATATAGACCAACTCCTCATTTGTTAGATGGGGTACTGAGGCATTTGCCCAGGGCCACACAGTGAGAGGGATGGGACCAGACCTGGGTCATCTGACATCCAGGCCAATGCATTTCTCCCTAAACACCCACTCCTCTCAGTAGTCTAATCTTATAACGTGTGGTTCAGGCGGATATAGAATGAGTTTCTGCTGTGTCCTTTTTAAATTATATCCTGCCTTCTTTGAAGAAGGCCTGGAGGCTGCTTTATAAAATGATTTGGGGTTCCCTGAGGCCGGAGGAGGGGCTGAGAGATGTCCGGGCAGGTAGCGCTACTTGAGGATAAATTATTGGCTATGAACAATTCCCACCGAGATAATTGTGTTTATTCTTTTATCATAGGTGTGCCTTACAGAAGGTAAATTTGCTTTATTAGAATCTGAATTTACAACATCAGGAATCTCATTACTCTCATAATTTCCTTTAAATAGCCCTCAGTGTATATGAAGTACACGTTGATTCGTACATACTCTTTCAGGATCCCAACCATTAAATAGAAAGCGCAGACTGAATGCATTTTTGAGGTCCCCTCAGAACCAAGATCAGCACAGCCTGTCTTATTTATTCTCCTCTTTTCCTAACAAGGTACATGGTATTATTTCCATTTTACGGGAAACCATAGTTAGCCAACCTCATAGTGCTTAGCATATGCCAGGTACTCTTCAAACACTTTATACATAAAATAACTCATCTCATCTTGCCAACAACCCTATGAGGTGGGCGCATTTGTCCTCCCCATTTTAAGGATGTGGAGACTGAGGGTCAGCAATGATCTGAGATCACACAGCTGGGAAGTGGGAGCTGGGGTTTGAGCAGGCAGTCTGACTTGAGCCTGGCTCTTTCCTGCTACCTTACATTGCCCCTCGGGTAAATGGACTTTCTCAGGATCACAGCCCTAGTAGGTAGGTGGCAGAGCTGAGAGGAAACTCAGACCTTCTGAGTCCAAAGCCACTTAGCCCCATTTCCCTATTTCCCAGGTCACTGTCTCCCTCAGGGGGCATGTTTAGTGGTGAAGCCTCCTACCATTACCTGTGACTATCTCCACCTGCCTTGGTCTTGAGCAAGGTTGTGGCAGAGTAGGAGCCACAGCTGAGACGGTGGTGAGGCCAGCCAGCCAGGCTGGGGCAAGGCAGGAGGGAGCCGGGGGGCCAGCCCACGTGTGCTCCTCACCACACCTGGAGCAGTGGGGCCAGGTGCAAGGCAGAGGGGCCTGGCCCACCCCGTCTGAGTAGGGTGGGGATCCCCTTCCCTGTTCCAGGTTGGCCCTGAAGGTGCTGTGCCTGGCCCAGCGGCAGTACTCCCTGCTCCAAGCGGCCAACCTCCTGACCCCTGACGTGATTGCAGAGTTTGAGGCTCTGCAGCAGCTGGTGCAAGAGGAGAAAACTGAGCCTGGACCAGAGGCCTCGGAGACTCCTGGCCCAGCCAGGGGGCCACCTCCCGCTCAGGAGCTGTGTTCAGAGTCAAGTGAGTCTCACCCCTGCTCTGCCTGTGCCCATCAGTGCCGTCTCCAAGGCCCAGCTGGTGCTGAGGGATGGCCGGGTCCTCGGATGCTGGGTTATGCTGTGGTCGGAGGCTGGGCCCTGGGATCATGGACTTGTGCACACAGAGAAGCCCCAGGAGTCCCGGCAGACCTGAGGAGTTAGGGCTCCTGCGTGTCTCCAGTGTCTCTCTCCCCAGACTAGAAATTCTCCTTCCTTCTGGCCAGTCCCTGATCTCCCCTTAACACCCTGCTTCTCTGTGCCCAGAGTCTCCCGGATACTCTGGCCCCGTGACCCGGACCATGGCAAGGCAACTGAGTGGCCTCATGCACACTCTGGGGGTCCCACCTGGGCCTCACCGTACCCCAGCCCAGGCATCTCAGTGGCCTAGGGAGAAGAAGAGGAAGAGACCAAGCCCCTTGGAGCCAGACAGCCCCCCGGCCCCAAAGCCAGGGAGCAAGCACCAGCGCCAGTCCTTCCTGCCCTGCCTGAGGAGGGGGTCCTTGCCTGAGGCTCAGCCTTCATTCGGGACCACCACCCCCAAAGGAGAAAGGGCCTCCTCCCCCTGCCACTCCCCTCGCTTCTGCCCAGCCACGGTCATCAAAAGCCGGGTGCCCCTGGGCCCTTCTGCCATGCAGAACTGCTCCACCCCTCTGGCCCTGCCCGCTCGGGACCTCAATGCCACCTTTGATCTCTCTGAGGAGCCCCCTTCAAAGCTTGGTTACCACAAATGCATCGGCTGGGAGAATGTCCCCCAGGAGCTGAACAGGCTGGATCAGCCCTTCATCCCCAGGTGGGTCTCCCTTCCTGCCTCCCTCCCAGCAAGGGGTCAGGAGTCAGCGAGACAGAGGTGCTGGCCAGCACTTGCCGTCTCTTTCCCTTTGGTCTCATCGGTGGTGCTCCCCAGGCCCCAGAGGGCAGAATATACAGTTCCCATGGAGGCGGTGCTCCTCTCAGCGGCCCTGCCTTGTCTGTCCAAACTTCAAGGGCACCAGCTTCGTGCTGCTTTGTGGCACACCCACGAGTAGCTGATGGGACCCCTCTTGAGGAGGGTTGGCAGGGAGCAGGAGTAACGAAGTGAGCCAGTCCTCTATTCCTCTGCATTGCTTGGGCCTTTGGCCCGGTCCACTTCTGTGTCGCACTGGGAAATACCTGTTTCTGCCACTTCCGCCCCCAGATTTTACCCTCCAGCCCAGCATCTGGAACTGGGAGGGCGGGGTGGTCCTCAGAAAATTTTATTCAGCATTTTTCAGTGAGAAGATGAAGATCTCACCCTCGCCTTCCACCCATGGGGCAGGGTAGGGGAACAGCAACCGGCCCAGAACAGTCCAAGGCCAAGAACAAGTGCCAGACTGACCTGTACTTGTGAGGCCAAGGGTGGCAGGCTGCCCACCCTACCCCCTGCCCCTCCTACAGCCTGAACCACCTCTCAGTAACAAGCTCAGAGCCGGGCAGGTGGAAGGGTGAAATTGTTTGAACTCTAGTTCCCTGGATGTGCCAGAAACTGACATCTGGATGTTCTCCCAGAGCAGGCCTGTCACTCAGCTGTCAGCCCAGGCTGAGTGAGGCAGGAGAGGAATCCACCTCTTAGGAGGAGGAAACCTCAGAGGTCATCTTGTCCAACCTCCCCGCCCCGCAAGCTGGGGGCTGGAGGGAGGAGACGCTGACTCCCTTTTCTGGTTTCCTGCTGATCTGCCTCCCTTTGCCTTCCTTCCTCCCTCCCGCAGTGGACGCATGCCTCTGTTCACCATGAAAGGCCCCAAGCCAACATCTTCCTTCTCTGGAACCTCAGCCCACAAGAAGAGGCGCATTGTGAGGTGAGATGGGGGCGGTATCGGGGGGAGAGCTTTCGCCAGGGCAGTGCACACCCAGGCCAACTATAGGCCCCGGCTGTGTCTCTGGACCCCTTGCAGCCAGGTGCCGGGGGTCTCGTGAGCAGGGCCCACGTGTGGTTCTCTGACTGAGGTCCTCTTAGCCCTTGCTATTGCAGGATTACACCAGAGGTGACAGGGATCTCCCTCCTTTAGTTAAAGGCCACAGGCCCCCTCTCCGCGAGGGAGGCATTCAGTGTCCACTGGTTAATCTGGGGAATGGACTACCCATGCCCCCACCGCTACTTCCCTCCCACACCCCACTAAGCTCCCGTTCCCCCTACTCCTCCTCCTGCCCTCATATCTGACCTTGGAAGCTCTTGGTGCTCAGCCACCCCCTGCTCTCAAGGCGTGGCGTCTAGCTCTGTCCCCCGCACCCGGCCCTGTGGTCCAGAGGCATGGCTGTGACCTTCCCACCTTCCTTCCTTCCTTCCATCCCTCAGTGCCTCAGTCTCCTGCTCACTAGGAGTTGCCCGGCGCCGCAGCCGCATCGCCCGTCTGCCCGGCAGCACCTTGCGGCCAGCTGGGCCCCTGGCAATCCCAGGTGACTGGCAGTGGGGACAGGGATGGTCTGGGCCATGGTGGCAGATGAAGACAAGAAGTAGGTGGGGACAGGGTGGGCCAAGACCCAGGTGAGAGGAGTGCCTGGGGTACTTCTGAGCATCTCTGGGATCCTGATGAGAGAGGTGGGGGAGGGGAACGGTGGGACAGAGCCTCACTTTTCTCCTTCCTCCCTGCCTCCCCCATCTGGCTGCAGAGCCCCCCTCCAGCCCCCGCTGCCCTGGCAACCGGAGGAACCAGAAGGAACTGATGGGGGTTGGGGGAGCACTGTCAGCTGGGAGCTGCGTTGCCAAGGTGTCCTGATCACTGGCCCCTCTCGGACTCTGGAGTGGCCTGCACCCTGACTGGCCCCCCTCAGCTTGGAGCAATTTGTGCCAACACCCTCTTCCTTCATTAACACTCCTCCCCGAGCCATTCATTCTGCTACTACCCTCGTCCTTAAACTCTTGTTACACTCAGCTTCTCAGCGTGTATATATTCATTTGTGGGTGTTAACGTGTTGCCATTTTAAAGGATGCTGCCATCTTTCCCCCCAGATTATAATGCCCTCTGTGCAGGCAGGTGGCTTTTGGGGGCTTTGTCCCTGCCCCTAGTCTCACACAAGGCTCAGTGCAATGACAGCCACTGCGCAGGGTAGGAAGGAGCCCCAGCACCAGGCCACAGTCCTGGCAATGGTGCAGACAATCAGTAGCAGTGCCTCGATTTCCAAGTGAAGACAGCTTTGTTGTTTTTACCCTGTTGTAAACAGGACACATTCAGTGTAAAAAGAAGTGTAAAGAAGAAAGGGAAGTTCAGTCTTAATGTTCAGTCTTAATGCTAGCCTGGATACAAGAGCTGTTAATACTTGGGTTTATATCCTCTGATCCTTTATTTCTGCATATTTACATATATATGTACATGTAGATATAGCTATATATTTTTATTATAATGATGAATAAACCATCTCCATCCTGGGTGTATGTTTCTCTCTGTACACCTGGGTGGGCTAGCATCACCTCCCCTTTCTCATCTTCCCACTCTTCCAGACCTCAAGAAACTTCCAAGTATAGAAAACACTCTCCCTCCGCCTCCTCCTGCAGCCTTAGGTCTGGCTGGGTGAACCCTGCTCCTTACTCTGCAGCCTCGTCCTCCACTAAGGGCCTCTGCTCCTCAGCATTGAAGAAGCTGTTGTGCCTGGAGGCCTGTTCCCTCCACTGACAGCTTGGGCTGGGTTCTAGGAGTCCTGCCATCAAGGAGAGCATTTTAGTGGTCCCCAGGTCTTAGGTGAGGCTCCAGGCTAGGCCTCAACTGGCTTCAACCCAGAGCAAGCTTCCTCCCACTGGCTCTAAAAGCCCCACTTCCCACCACATTCGTGGCCTTCCTCTCCATTGAGCTGGATTGTGACAGTTCCACACAAGTTTACCTCTGTCTCTCCAGGAAGACATGGCTGGCTGAATGAATGAATAGTGCAAACAAAATTACAGGAGACTGTGTTTATCTTGCTTCTGAAAACAAACATGTTAAAGGTATTTAGTACATTGTGAGTAGTCTGTAAATAATGCTGCTGATTTCAAATGAGTCCTCGCTGCTCTGGGGGAGCTGTCTCCTCCTCCGCCTGACGAGCCCCTCCCCGCTCAGCTTCAACTTCTTTTTGGAGGAGTGGAGAGGAGAAAGCAAAGAGGAGCACTGAGTTCCTCCCGGCTGCAGGCTTCTCACAAAACTTCCAATCTTATAAGGTATAATGAGGGAATAGACTCAAAAAGGTTAATAAAATGTGCCTGGAGTCAGACAGCAAGTGGCAGCACCAGGATTCAGACCAGGGTCTGCTTTGCATGACACCGAGTTGCTTCCCTTTAGAAGTGAACAGACATCGTTTCTTTCCGCATGCCTGGGGTTGCCTCCTCTCCAATTAATCTTAATGAGTTTTTTCCCCCGTGTACCATGATTCCCACAGAAGCACTCACAGCTTCTCATGTGTAGCCCCCAGCGGCCTGGCGTGGTGCCTTGACCTTAGGAGGCCTCACTGAGTGCTGGTTGGATTCAAATTGAATGACCTCCTCATTTCCTGGGGCCCTCCCATACATTATCTCATTTGATTGTCACCATCAACCTGCAAGTGAGGAAGCAGCAGGCACAGGGCACGGCGGCTGGTAACTAGGGCCAGGAGGGCAAGCTTCGGACAACAGAGTCCACTGCACGAGGCAGAATTCGCTTGGGCTGGGGGCAGCTTGCAAGTGGAAGAGGTCACTCTTGACAAGGATGTTCTGCAGCTGGCCATTCGCTCAGCAAACATTTGTGGCTCTGTGGTGCAAAATGTGCTCTCTGGTGACCCATTAAATGTACAAGGACTCTGCCGATGGAGTTATGCACGTGTGGCTCCTGCCCTCAATCACAGGAGGCCGGTCTGAGAGTGCTCGCTGCATGGTGTCCCACTTGCCGGGAGGCAGCCTGGCTGGTCTGAGCTTCTCAGGGAGCTGGCGGAGGCGGAGGGTGGCAGCAAGCTGACAGCCAGCTCCCAGCTGACCTCTGGGCAGCGAGGAGGCTCTGAGATTGGATTGTTCTTACGTAAAGAGAGTCATCCACGAGACACAGCAATCGATGGCTCCCCCGTCCACTGCGAGCCCAGCCTGATCTAAGGCACCTTTCCCTGCGTCACCCCACCTCTTCCACCTTGGGGGTCTGTGCAGAGACCCTCACTCCACTTCTAGGAGTTTAGAAGTATTCTCTTCCTAGACCCTTTTCACCCACCTCAGACCCCTCAGTTCATATCTAGACCCTGCCCTGGGCACAAATTCCTGCCCAGTTCAGAGAACCAGGCTCAGTGCCAGGAGCTGCAGACACAGAGAACAAGACATAGTCCCTTCATGCAAGGAGTCAGGATGGCACCTGTCCCTGTCACCTGAGTGTAAGCCCAAACCTCCATTAGTGTTGGGACTGTTAAGGGGAGGAGACTAGGCTTTCTCCTCTGGGTCCCCCCCGGACCCCCAGCCATTGGCTTGGCCCCCACAGGGGATTCCATCACCAACGGGGAGCTTCCCAGGCAGCTGCTAACACTGTGCCCTGCCTGCAAGACCCCTGCTTGTCTGTCCCCAGGTTCCTCCAGGACTGTCCCTTTGGCTCTTGGCTAAGTTTGCAGAAACCCGGTTCCCGGACAGAATCTAGTTCATGGCTGTCTTCCCCTCCTCCGTGGTGCTTTTATGAAGAGGGGCCCAGGAGGCTTGGGATGGAAGTTTCGGGAGTGGACAGGACCAGAGTCACCTGAGGGGCCTGGAAACCATGGCTGTGCTTTCCAGTTCACCCCAAAGACTCCCCTCAGCTCACCCACAGCCTTCCTACCCCCACTCCCTGGCTCATCCTGTCTATTTGGAGGCCCACTGGATTGGAAATAACAGGCTGCCCGCCAGTCCTCTCCTCCCACCAGGGACACATCTGGTCCCCGCCTCTCGCCCTCCCAGAGGGATGCATTCAGTCAGGCAGGGAGACAGGGGGGAATGGGGAGAAAAGCAGATCGGGGGAAAGCAATTACAAAGCCACTTTCAGGGTTAGAGGCTGGAGTGGGCCCGGGCTGAGGGAGAAGCAGGGAGAGAAAGGGCCTGAGCTTATTAACCCCAACACAGCAGCCTGACCCCTCGGTCTGCGAAGGTGAGTGAGCTGATGGCTCCAACAATGACGTGCTGAGGGCCCAGGGAGGAGGAAGGGGAAGGAGTCTGGAGGCTCAGCCAAGAGCCCTTCTGCAGCCACAGGAGTCGGGCACTTCTAACCATCAGAGCCTAGCTGGGCACAGGCTGAGGAGGGGAGAAGGAACTGACCCGGGCCTGAGGCAGCCCTCCAACTGACAGCAGGAGACAATCCCTGCCCTCAAGGAGCTCCCATCTGACAGTGAACCGTAAGCGCTCGGATCAGGATGCTCCCATCCGGGAAGAGGACGGCTTCTGTCCTCTGGGTGCCTTAGTCTGAAGGGGGAGACAGACCCTACCCTTAGGGAGATCCCGTTCGGAAGGGAAGACATAGGTCCTAGCATCAGGACCTCCCATCTGCCAGGAGAGCCATGGGCCCTCTCCTTGGGAAGACTCAGGCTGAGGCACAGAAGAGACCCACACCCACGGGAGACAGTGACACACCAAAAGCTTCTCGGATGGAGTTGTGGCCTCAAGTCTAGGGTTGGGGAAGGGCAAGGATGGAGGGACAGAGCCCATCAGGCAATAAAGCAGGTTGGGGATGAGCATCTACTCTGAGTCTCCTCCGGGGCAGTTGGAGATCACTTGCACTTGTCCCCTAGGAGACCCAAAGCCACAAACAACTAGTGGCCTGGAGGCAAATGGCGCTGACTCCCACCCTCTCTCCACTGGCTGCTGCCCCCCTGTGTCCTGTCCACACTGCCAGGTAACTGCCCAGGGACAGGGAGGCAGCCCACACACTGTCACTGCCCCACCCCCAGTGGAGTCACAGGACACGGTAGCCCCTCCAGAAGATGCAGCTCCCACCCTTCGGGGCCCACCCCATCACACATGTGCTACCGTGTTCATAGGTAAAGCATCTGGACGGTGTTATTAAATGGAAGCTATGATTTCTTGAGCACCTGCTGTGTCTGGCTTTCGCTGATTTTATTCTCACAACTACCTTGGAAGTAAGGATGGCAAGTCCCCATTTTGCAGATGTGGAAATGGGGACTCAGAAAAGCTTGCTGAAGTCATCCAAGATCATACAGCTATTGAGTGGCCGCAGCCTTGCTCTCTCCCCTAGAGGGCACTGCCATCGCAGCCAGAGACAACTCCAGAGAGTAAACGGGGTGATCCCGCTGGGTGATCCCAAATTAGGTTTAAGAAAGCCCTCCTGCAGCTGTGAGACGGGCTTCCTCATTGCCTCTAAAGGGAGGTCAGTGGCTCTGCAGCCACTCAGACCTGGGCAGCCGGGCGCTGCCATCTAGTGGCCACCGGGGCCCAGCTCCCTTCCTCCGGGATGGGCTACAGAATGGATAGACTCAGCGGTAGCCAAGGGGTGGGCCAGAGAGACCCCCATTCTCTTCATCCCACCCAGGCTTGCTGACCACCATGTGGTGCCAGGCGCTGGGAGAGGGGCAGGGACTCAAGTGGATCTGGTGGGTGGCAGTCCAGGGGCAAAACAACCGTTTGAATTAAAGGCTGGCAAATTTGGAAAACACTGGGCACCTTGTGTGTGGGTTGAGGCCAGGTGTTTGTCCCGGGAAGCATGTGGGCTCTGCCCCACAGGCAGGAGGGCATCCTGGCACAGGGGGTGGGAGGTCATCTTGTCCCCACCTCGGCTCCAAGCAGGAAACAGCTTGGCTGAAGGCCCTATGGAGGGGCATCCAGGTGTCCTCTCTCCATAGCTCACATCTTCTGCCATCTAGTCCAGAAGTCAGTCCGAGATTGGCCTGAGACTTTGGATGTTGAGGCCCAAATGGGAGAAGCAGGAGAGGAGGTGCCGTATTGGTGGGGCCTGAGCCAGGCTGGGAGGATGGGGGCAGTGGTGGAGGCCGGGAGCTAGGTCTGCCTGGGGCAGATGTGCATCACAGTGTAATCAGAAGCAGAGAGAGAGAAGGGAACTGTCCAACAACAGGGCTGGGTTAAATTAACGCATACCGTGGAAAACCATGCAGCTGTTAAAATGATGATGTAGATAAATATTTATTGATATGGAAAGATGTTCGCAACATATTGTCGAGCGAAAAAAGCAAATTACAAAATAATTTGTAGAGCATGAGCCCACTTGTGAAAAAACAAATTTATGTGTGTGGGAAAAAATCTGATAGTGTTTATCTCCAGGTGGCAAAATAATGGCTAATTAATTTTTTTGTTTCACTTATCTGTATTTTCTGATTTTTCTACAAAGCATGTATAATAAAAAATGATGAAAGTTTGGCAAACAAACACTACCAAGCGTGTCTTCCTCTTTGCTTCTCTGTGTGGACATCTTCAGATGGTTAAGGCTGAGTGTGGGGATGGCTCTGAGGGTCAG